GCCCCCCGCGCCCAAGGACCCGGCCGTGTCCTAAAGGAAATGGGGACGGAATCCTGGAAAAAAGACAAAAATGGGATCTCAAAAATGACTAAAATGGGATTCCAAAAAAGAGAAATATGGGATCCTAAAAAAGACAAAAATGGGATCCCAAAAGAGACAAAAATGGGATTCCAAAAGGACAAAAATGGGATCTCAAAAAAGACAAAAATGGGATCACAAAAACAACAAAACGGGGTCCCAAAAAAGACAAAAAAGGGATTCCAAAAAAGAGAAATATGGGATCCCAAAAGAAATAAAAATGGGATCCCAAAAAGACAAACGGGATTCCAAAAATAAACAGGATCCCAAAAGAAAAGTGGGATTCCTAAAGACAAAAATGGGATCCCAAAAAAGAGAAATATGGGATCCCAAAAAGACAAAAATGGGATCCCAAAAAAGACAAAAATGGGATCCTAAAAAGAGACAAAAATGGGATTCCAAAAAAGACAAAAATGGGATCCCAAAAAGACAAAAATGGGATCCTAAAAATGACAAAAATGGGATCCCAAGAAGAAAAGGTGGGGTCACAAAAAAAAAACAAAAAAAAAAAGGGAAGAAAACCCCGAGTGAGTTGTCTTGCTTGGCACAGAAACCCGGGGGGTTCCGGGGGGATTACGGGAATTCTGGAGAATTCCAGAGAATCCTGGAGGTTCCTAAATCATTCTGGCACATCCTGGAGAATTCCAGGGGAATTCTTGGGGATCCTGGAGAATTCCAGGGGAATCCTGGAGGATCCTGGAGAATTCCAGAGGATCCTGGAGGATCCTAAATCATTCCAGGAAATCCTGGGGCGTCCTGGAGAATTCCAGGGGAATCCTGGAGAATTCCAGAGAATCCTGGAGGATCCAAAATCATCCCAGGAAATCCTGGGGTGTCCTGGAGAATTCCAGGGAAATCCTGGAGCAGCCCAGAAGGTCCCAATGAATCCTGGAGGATCCTGGAGCATCCCAGAGGATCCTGGGGAATTCTGGAAGATCCTGAAGAATTCCAGGACATCCCAGAGGATCCTGGGGAGCTCTGGAGGATCCGAAATCATCCCAAGGAATCCTGGAGAATTCCAGGATTTCCTAAATTAGGATTCTGGAGCATCCCAGGGAATCCTGGAGGATCCCAGAGGGTCCTGGGGAAATCTTGGAGGATCCTGGAGAATTCCAGGAGATCCCAAAGGACCCTGGAGCATCCCAGAGAATTTTGGAGGATCCCAAATCATCCCAGAGAATTCCAGGAGATCCCAGAAAATCTTGGAGCATCCCCAGAGGATCCCAAAAAAAAAATCCCAGAGCGTCACAAGAGATCCCGAATAATCCCAAGGGATCCCGGAGCATTCCAGAAAATCCTGGAGGATCCCAGAGGATCAGGAGGGATCCCAGAGGATCCCAAAAAATCCTGGAATATTCTAAGGGATCCCAAAAAAAATCCTGGAGCATCCCAGAGCATCAGGAGGGATCCCAGAGGATCCCAAAAAATCCTGGAATATTCTAAGGGATCCCAGAAAATCCTGGAGGATCCCAGGGATCCAGAGAGGGACAGAACCCCGGGATCTGGGGGGAACGGAAATCCAGTGGATCCCCAAAATCCCGAAATATCCCAGAAAAAAATGGTGCCCAAAATTCACGGAGTCCTGAAATTGCTCAAAATCCAGAGGATTCCAAAATTCCATGGGATCCCAAAATTCCAGGGAAGCCTGGAATGTCCCAGGATCCCAAAATCCAGAGGATCCCAAAATATCCCAGAAAATAGCGGTGGCCAAAATCCACGGAGTCCTGGAATAGCCCAAAATCCAGAGGATTCCAAAATTCCAGAGGATCCCAAAATCCTGCAGGTTCCCAAAATCCCAAAGAAACCTGGAATGCCTCGGGATCCCAAAATCCCACAGGACCCCAAAATCCAGCAGATCCCAAAATATTCCAGAAAAAAACGGTGGATAAAATCCAGTGGATCCCAAAATCCCGGAATATCCCAGAAAAAAATGGTGCCCAAAATTCACGGAGTCCTGAAATTGCTCAAAATCCAGAAGATTCCAAAATTCCATGGAATCCCAAAATCCTGGGGAAGCCTGAAATGCCCCAAGATCCCAAAATCCAGAGGATCCCAAAATATCCCAGAAAATAGCGGTGGTCAAAATTCACGGAGTCCTGAAATTGCCCAAAATCCAGCGGATCCCAAAATTCCATGGAATCCCAAAATCCTGCAGGCTCCCAAAATCCCAAAGAAACCTGGAATGCCTCGGGATCCCAAAATCCCACAGGACCCCAAAATCCAGTGGATCCCAAAATCCCGGAATATCCCAGGAAAAAATGGTGCCCAAAATCCACGGAGGTCCTGAAATTGCTCAAAGTTCAGAAGATTCCAAAATTCCGTGGGATCCCAAAATCCTGGAATGCCCCAGGACCCCAAAATCCCACAGGACCCCAAAATCCCAAAGAAACCTGGAATGCCTCAAGATCCCAAAATCCCACAGGACCCCAAAATCCAGAGGATCCCAAAATCCTTGGGAAAACCTGGAATGCCCCAAGATCCCAAAATTCCATGGGACCCCCAAAATCCCAGGGAAGCCTGGAATGTCCCAGGACCCCAAAATCCAGAGCATCCCAAAATCCCAAAAACACCTGGAATGCCCCGGGATCCCAAAATCCCACAGGACCCCAAAATCCAGTGGATCCCCAAAATCCC